AACGGAGCAAAAATACTCAAGATTACTGCAGATATTGTTATTTACATGGCCAAAAACTAAGATGAAATTCTGACAGTTTTTAATGTAAAAGTATAGGGGGGGGGGTTAAGATGGGGCTATGATGATTGAGAGATAAACAAATAGACCAATAAACATTCCTCAATCATATTTGATACATTTTAACATGATTTTTTCAAAAAATGATGAATGGAAAATCAAATAAGTAAAAAAAAAAAGTTGCTTCAGTCTAGTAAATGATCATCTTGAAATATTACTAATAATATGAGTTATTCTTACGTTTACTTGATAAAAATCAGTAAAGATATCACAGCAAAAAGTTTTTTTTACAAACAGACGTGTGTGTGTGTGTGTGTGTGTAAATATACAAATACAACAAACAATGCTTTATTTTTCAGGTACAGTAGGTGTATTTAGTAGTAGCATTCAAGAAACTGTATGAACAAAACGCTATTAAAGTTCTTCAGTCAGAGCAGTGAATGGTTTTTCTCTTTGTGTATTTTTTTTGTTTGTTTTATTAACATTAAATGGATAGTTCACCCAAAAATTAAAATTATGTACATAATTTACTCACTCTCAAGATGTTTTAAACCTGAATGAGTTTCTTTCTTCTGTTGAACATAAGTTGCTGGTCCCCAGTGACTTCCACAGTATTTTTCTCCTACTATCAGAGTCAATGGGGACCAGCAACTGTTTGGTTACCTACATTCTTTAAAATATCTTCTTTTGTGTTCAGCACAAGAGAGAAATCAATACAGGTTTGGGACAACATGAGAGTGAGTAAACAATGACAGAAATTAAATTTTTGGGTGAACTATCCCTTTAAATGGCAAGCGGCAGCATGTTTAGTATTATTAGTCTGCTATCACTTTAAGACCTTCATGCATCTAATATACAGTCACGCATCTGTTCTTCTCTCAACTGTTTACTTTCACTTTAGACATAACCAACTGTGTTTATATGTAAACTTGTGTGTTTTTGACAGTATTAGCGCAATCCAACACAAAAGATAACTTAGTCCAGTAATCAGGCGCTGTTTGACAGGATTTTTAATGTGCGCGCGCTCCAGAAAAAGCGCATGTCAGAACAGCTCGTGAATGAAATGTTTAACCGACGAGGCTTTAAAACCCATGCAAATAATGTACCTTTGTGATTGCGAATAAGTGCAGTGTCCCGTGAGTGTAAATGAGTTAGATGTGATGTGAATGTATGTGGCGTTGTACAGTATATTGAGATAACTGCAACTGACAGAATGTGCGCTGTAGCGCAATACTATGATATTTCTTCAAAAGCAGATCGTGGAGACATTTTAATCGTCCATGATCAAATATTGTGATGTCGCACACCCATAATTTGATACATCAAATATGGGCTTTTATGGACCTTATAATATGACATGAATATGGAGCTTATACTCAAGAAAGAAAACGGAGCAAAAATACTCAAGATTACTGCAGATATTGTTATTTACATGGCCAAAAACTAAGATGAAATTCTGACAGTTTTTAATGTAAAAGTATAGGGGGGGGGGTTAAGATGGGGCTATGATGATTGAGAGATAAACAAATAGACCAATAAACATTCCTCAATCATATTTGATACATTTTAACATGATTTTTTCAAAAAATGATGAATGGAAAATCAAATAAGTAAAAAAAAAAAGTTGCTTCAGTCTAGTAAATGATCATCTTGAAATATTACTAATAATATGAAAGTTATTCTTACGTTTACTTGATAAAAATCAGTAAAGATATCACAGCAAAAAGACACACGACGCACAAGCTGAAGGTGGATGTTTGTACAATTAAACTTCAAGGCTTTTTACTTGCTAAAAAAGTGTGAACCATGAGTAAGAAAGGCATGTAGTAGATTGAGTACAACAGGTTTTTCAGCAAAGTTTTGATCATGTTGATAATTTAGAGGCCTCAGAAATGCATGCATCAAATATGATAGAGCAGGCTTTATAGGGTTAATTTCATGTGATGTCTAGATTAGTGAGTATAAGGAGTCACACGGGCTTCTGTGGTTTGCCTTCTTTAACCCTGAACTGTCTCTCAGCATTTCACCAGATAACGGTACAAGATTGTGAATTTATACTCATTTTCATAATTCTGTTCATAATTACATTAATAGCAGTGTGTTTAATGGGTTGAAAGTTCAAACCGTCAAAATCTGAAAGTGCTTCAAGTGTCCCCTGAAAAGGTTTTTGTTCTGTGATATAAGTGAAACTGTGCATGCTTGACACGCAACACCAAACCTCACTGATTCCTGCGTGTCAAGCAAACACAGTTTAGCTTCCTTTTGACCATATTTTTTGTGTGTTGATCAATGTTTCTATGTGAAGAAACGTCTAAATTAGTCTGTTCATTATATAAAGAGATCCTGTCTCTTCAGCAGACTTGGATTAAACTGCTGGATTCATGGCTTGTTTTCTTGTACGATGTTTTTGTTAACTTTTTGAAGCTTGAAAATTTGGGTTGCCTGGACTTCAGAAACAAGAGACTGTGGGTGTGATATTGGTTTTATATAACGGAAGTTAACACAAGAGGTTAACAATATTGCCTGTTACTTTGTCCATTTTATCTCTACTAAAGAAAATAGGTGCAAACGAATCCAGATCAGGATGGTAGTGGTGTTTTGTTCTAAATGAATCAGCGATGTAAAAGATTCAATGATTCAATTCCTCACATTAATAATAACCTCATTAACACTGCAAAAGAAAATGAACTTCCATAATTTGCAGGTCCTTTTAAGATTAGCATAATTTAACATGATTTTTGTGCTTTTTCCCCCATATAGGTTTATTCATGATCAGTAAATTGGACATGAGTAATTATTTATTTGTTATTTATTCATTACATTATATTATATTCAGATTATGTTATTTATTGAAAGGTTATATTCTTTAAAATTTGGTGAATTAATTATCTGTTTAAGTGCTGTTGATAAGATGTTGTTGAATGGAGATGCTTAATGGGTGGACAACTAAAACTAAAAATATTGAATGAAAGACTGAACACACATTTTGAAACTGAGAAGTGTAGGTGTAATAAGCAATGGCTCCTGCTGCCTACTCCTTTTGCTCACTGTGTTGTCTTGTAAATATTGTTAAAGCTTTTTTTTTTTGAGTTTGAGCCAAAACAAATTAAATAAATATGTTGTGTTACTGTTATATAACAATAATGTTATGTAATCTAAAACTATTCATGTTAGATGGTTGTTATGAAATAGCACAGATGTGAATAATGATATATTACAATTATAAGATGTGCGAAATAAATCACCATCAAGGGGGTGGAGATGGGTGGGTTTAGAGGTGGAGATGGGTGGCTTTAGGGGTGGAGATGGGTGGGTTTAGAGGTGGAGATGGGTGGCTTTAGGGGTGGAGATGGGTGGGTTTAGAGGTGGAGATGGGTGGCTTTAGGGGTGGAGATGGGTGGGTTTAGAGGTGGAGATGGGTGGGTTTAGGGTTGGAGATGGGTGGGTTTAGGGATCAGGGATGGAGACGGGTAGGTTTAGGGTTGGAGACGGGTGGGTTTAGGGTTGGAGATGGGTGGGTTTAGGGTTGGGTTTAGGGGCGGGTTTGGGGGTGTAGGGACGCTGGAGGAACCCGGGAACTTTAAATGGCTGTGGTTACATTCTGGAATTTCCAGTAGCCCCTCACTGCAGAACAAAGATCCAGGGGGTGGGGTTGGATCCACATATAGGGGGTGGAGATGGGTTTAGGGATCGGGGTGGAGATGGGTGGGTTTAAGGGTGGAGATGGGTGGGTTTAGGGGTGGAGATGGGTGGGTTTAGGGATCAGGGGGTGGAGACGGGTGGGTTTAGGTATATGTAAGGTGGGAGGAGTTGGATCTGGATCCAACCAAGCCACCTTGATCTTGTGTTCTGCAGTGAGGACCATCTCGAATTAACAGCTAGTTCTGGCCAGAAAGATCGATTACAGCTCCAACTCACGATATGTATGCAGGATAGACGAATCCGATGAGATTACAGAGCAGAGAAGCGCCGTATCCGATCACCAGATAGACTGCAAGGATCGCGATGACAGCTGCAAGACAAAAGACAACATCAGCCTACTGCCAGCTCTATTCGTGCGCAAACAGCATTAAACTGAAACGGTTCCTGGTTCAGATCTTCCTCCAGCAGCGCTCACCATATGCGATGTAGGATCTGCTCACTCCGGTCCTCGCCTCGATCTTCGCCAGCACGTCCGTCATGAGATTTTTCTCGTAAAGGAACTTATCGAAGCGTTCTTTCAGCCCGTGCGCCATGATTCGTCTGTTCCGATGATGGATTTATTGAGATATGAAATAGAATGCATAAACAGCAGCTGAAGTCCCGCTGCTCGCACCAGCTCAGTGTGTGACTGAGGGCGTGACGTCACGGAGCCACTTCCTCGACCACACCTTTTTTTCTTTTCTTGCGGAACTTATGAATATGAATACATGCACGAACAGGGAAATGAGACATGGATGTATCTCCTACAAAAAAAACATTAACAAGATAATTAATAATATGGGTTTACGCACATAAAGTTATGGCATTATCTACACAGGAAAAAAAAAACAAGAATAACAAATGCTTTTCAAAAGCACAAAAATAAGATTACAACCTATCTTTTTTTCTTTTTCTATTTTTAAATTGTCATAATACAAAAAAAAAAAATTCCACCCTTCATAGCGGAGCGAGGCAGACAGCCGCGAAAGATAGGCTTTTATTTTTTTACATTTAAAGTTGAATGAAGCTGCCGCTGAAAATATGGGTATCGATCTATTCCTAGTGGCTTGGGCTTTGACTGTACGAAAAGCCCAATGCATCCGAGTTATAATTTTTTCACAGTTTAGCCAGGTGATTATAAACACATTTATGTATTGCATGATTTTATAAAACAAACAATCAGACAAACGTGCTAATCTCCTAAATCGCTCTCTGAACTTCACTATGATTGGCCTCTTGGTGATGTCCGTTATGTGCAGAGCGATGTGATTGGTCAAGAGCTCTAAATTTGCGCGCTCTGTCATTAACTGCCGCTTCTGGTCCCGCCTACTCTCAAGTACTTCATGGATTTGCGGCGCTATATTTTTAGCTTGTTAGCATGCTAGCATCAGCGTCGTGGATATAAATTCACAGCATTGCTTGCTCTTTTATTGTATAGCGTTTGAATGGTACAGAACCATGTACTTTAGCCACATATTATAAATGCGAAGCACGCGAGTGTAGTAGCTTTGCGCTGTTTTTAACGCACAGGTCTTGCTTGTTCGGGATGTTTTTACCCTTAACATGGAGACAAAAAGAGGGGAGATTCCTAACGGGGTGCTGGATGACCTTTGCAGGTAAACCGAGAGCATACATTCACATCTGACTGTGTATTTAAAAGCGCATATAAGTGTGATGTGCGTTTTATCACTTTGAGTGGTCGAATAACTCGTAGCTGTTTTTGTTATACGGCAGTTTAACGGACTCAGTGAGGCTGCGTTGCAAAACCTACGAAACTGCTAACAGGCAGCCTATGAAGTATGGTGGGCACCTTCCGAGTCAGCTGCAGTTTTGTACATTTTTGGCGCGTCCTGAGGATATTTGTGTATCACATCACATGCGCATTTCGAGTCAGCTGCGGGTTTGGACGCCTGCCAAGTAGGCGGTATTTAGACTCCAGAAGTGAGTAACCTAATAACAATTCCCAAAGTCATTCGTCTGATGGAGATGATGACAGTAGTTACTGTTGTGCTTATGTTCTAGTATTTTGACCTAAATGGTCAATTGACTAGGCTACTTGTAGCACTACTTCCGTGTTTTATTTGGTACGCCTCACGCATTTCCGGTAACAACATTCACGCATCTACAAATCTGAATGCGATTTCCTGTGTTTTTAATTGATTTGTTTAATTTACGTCATAATAAAATATTATTTTTATTATGGTATAATCAGGTTTTCATTTTTTGTCCTTAGCTGATCACATCCCAGTGAAAGTAGATAATGAGAGTGCAGATTATTATTATGACTACTTAAGGTTATCTAATTCTTAGATCTGTTAGATCAGGCTGTCAAACGCAGTTCCTGGAGGGCCCGAGCCAGATGCCTTGTCCAAATATCCACACTTGTGCGCTCTCAAGTGGCCAAGACCGCAAGTGTGGGTATTTGGACAAGGGGAGAGTATAGATTCAACCCTAATTAAACACACCTGGGGCCTGTACCATGATGATAGATTAACAAATTCAGAGTTACAGGATTAGTTTCGAGTTGACAAAACCAAACCACTCCA